TCTTTCAATGACACACTTGAGCAATTCCTTTAAAACCAAGTCTTCCTTTCAGCAACTCTGTCTTTTCTTCTTAGGATGCTGACTGGATGTTTCCATGCAGATAGCCAGCTAGTCTTTCAAGCCTAGCACAGTCAAAACAAAACTTTCTACCCTCGCTCCTAACCCTGTTCCTCCACAGACAACTTCAACTTTCATGGATAGAAACTCTATATTTCTAACCATCAGCCCAGAAGCTTGGTGTGTGTGTGTGTGTGTGTGTGTGTGTGTGTGTGTGTGTGTGTGTTTGTGTGTGTGTGTAGGCTGTGTGTTTGCATGTATGTAGTGGTGCACATGCAGAGGTCAGGGGACAACTTTTGAGTGTCTGGTCTCTCCTTCCATGATGTGGGTCCTGGTGATCAAACTTAGGTTGTCAGGCTTAGCAATCAATACCTTTATGAGCTGAGCCATCTTGTCTGGAGCCTTGATATGAATTTTTGCAAGATTGCTTCATGCTTGGTTCCTATTATATCAGGAAACACAGCGTATGAGCATTTCATGTTTTGCAATGATAAGATTTTTAGTGGCTTTGCTGTTACACTAATTCACTCACTGTGAAGAATCCCTCTGAGCTTTCATGAAGTGGCTTTAATATCTGTCAATGACCACTGTCTAGATACATAATCGGAGGAGTGCTTATATCTATTTATTACATGTGTGTTCATGTGTGTGCTCACATGTGTAAAAATGAACATATGTGCAGATATACATGGTTGTGTTCCCTGGATTGTAGACTAGAGGTTTCAAGTGCCATTCCTGAGGACACCTGTCTACTTGGCTCTTTTGAAACAGGTTCCCTTATTATAACCCAGGGCTTGCCAATTAAGCTGGGCTAGCTGTCCAGGGAACTCCATAGGCCTACTTGTTAGCATCGCTTCTTGGCTACAAGCTCCTACCACTACTGCTGGCAGTTTATGTGGGATCTGCAGATCAAATTTACATTCCTATGCTTACTTAGCAGGTACTCTACGGGCTGAGTATCCCAACCTGATTTCTCCTTTCTCATTAGCTTTAAAATGTCTTAAATTCTCCATGCTTTTAGTTTCTTTTTCTCAACTCTACTCCATTATGTTCATGGCAACTAATATAATTTTCGAATCCACAAACCATTTCATGTCACTCCTTTCATTTAAATCTTCACTGGAATTTCATTCCAAATAAAATTCAACTTCTAGGGGAAAATGTGAGTATTTATAATCTGCTCTCCACTGACATGCCTGTTCCTTGCTCCACATTTATAAGTATTTATAAGTGCTGGAAACTTTCTGGAATAGCGTTCTTGCAGTAGAGAAGTTACAAATATTGGTTTTGCATTTGTAGGAGCTGGAGAATGAGGATAGACAGGCACATTTATTTTGTGAGTCAAAAAGCTTATTTATTCATTTCTTGTATTTGAAGTACTCTTCAATGACATCCTTGGCCTGCAATTCTTTGCCATAGTCCTTAACCACTACCCAACTGCAACCAACCATTTTGCACAGCTCCCCCTCTCAATCAATTGTTGAAGCCTACTCATTCTTCCAGGGTCTTAATAAGGTTGATCTGGTGCTTAGCACAGAGTACCTCAGCCAACTCATTACAATTGGATGCCAGCACACAAAGATGGGCTAGACACTTGTGGAAGGCTTTGGCAGCTATACATATGCCATATGTTATGACATTGTGGATGAGGGCGGTCTTCAGCACTTCTTGCAAAGCAGTATTGACATCCATTACACCTCCAGCAACAATGCCTGCCTCAGCCATGGTGGTGGATTATGGCCAAGGCCAAATCTAGAAGGCACCTGATCTTCCACATCTGTGCAACTCGGTAGCAGGGGAAAAGTCAGGCACATTTTTTAGAAAGCAATGGTATACAGGCCATAAATAACTAGAGCATTTTGAAAAAACTTTGACCACATCAGCAATGGAAATTTGGCATGCTTGGGTCTAAGGAAAAGCATACTGATTTCATAAAAAAGGAACTCAGAGACGAATGTAGGATATGAGCGCAAGACTCATTTTAAAATCTATCATTTATAAATTTCCCCAAATGGTACACTGATCATCTACTTTTTCTGTTTTCAAGCTTCATCCCCATGCCACTTACTCTTAAAGTTACTGTGTAGATGTGAACAATTGCAATTTAATTCACATAAACTAATTTTAATTATCCAATTGATCAGTTTTTATTTTACCCCCTGTGTATTAAATTCAGCTACAAAAATGTTGCTGCATATAAAATCCCTAGGACAGCAGCACCTGCTAGCAGATGACACTGCATGAACATCCTCACAGGAAGCTGGCTGGAAGATGACACTACATGAACCTTCTCATGGGTAGCTGGCTAACAGACGACACTACATGAAGGTCCTCAGCTGACTTACTCAGCTCCTCAGTTGGTTCTCGGGACTGAATCATGATGCAGTTGCATGTGCTGCCACGTCCTGCCATTTTCACTATTGCCACAACCTCCTTTGTCCATCCAGCCTTACCCCTTGCATGTTTTTGGGTCTTCAATGCTCTGCTGATACTCCTGTTGAACGGACTTGCTGTGCAGATTGACTAGGGTCAGTGTCAGTGAACGACTGTGGGCTTCCTTGGAAGGCTGTCTCTTAAACCAGTGTCATATCAATTCATACTAACTGAAAGGAAATGGCCTGATTTAGGGGTGGTGACTTAAACCATGGTTTTTAGAGAGCACGTGACAGGTTTTTCTGCAGTAAAGTCAACTTTCTAGAATACCTGAACTAGCCATGCTGCTGTAATTTGCTAATACATTTTCCTTCATCTTATGCAGTTGGAAAGGGTGAACTAGTGAGACTAGAGGGTGTGTAGAAGTGGCACTTAATTATAAAATAATGAAAAGCAGTCTATATCATGAAATCACCTCATAAACAGTGATTGAAACTGAGATGATTCAGTAATTAATGATTACATCAATTAAATGAACTAAATTCGTATCTCAACCCTACATACACATGTGAGAAAATATAATACCTTAACTATGGAGAAAATTACTAAAATATGGAAGACGTGATAAGCTCTGAGAACTGAAGCCCACACAGCTATCAAGTTAATTCCTTTTGTGTGCACTAGGTGTTTTGGAAACTAAGCATTAGTTTCCTGGCTATGCCTCATATCAAGACCACCCTGTAGCAAAATTTAATTTCTCAATGGATACCTAGTCATCATTTAGCTAAACATGTAGCTAAACCACTGAGACAAAATATGTAAATGAACGTTTAACCTTTGATTGATGAAAACATCTTTCATTTGAGGATGTTTTTAATTAAATAGTAATGTAAAATCATTAGGGTTTGTTTATCCAAAACTGGCTACCTTAGTCAAAGATATGGAATTAATCATCTAGGATCTTAAGTTGTGGATAATTTTGGTAATTAGACAATCTAGTAAAAAGTTTCTTTGAAAATATAAAAGATAAGTGTATTACAAACCTGGTTGCATTCAAATCTAAATATATGAGCAAAAACTGTTAAATGTCAAAAATCCATTTAAAACATCATTCAGAGATAATTGTCCTGAAGAAGGTGTTGTATGACACAAATATTTAGTGTGACTTATGTATGTGCATAATAGTATTCGGTTATTTATTCTGGAAGGGGATAGAGACATTTCAGAAATGTTATTTTGACAAACTAAAACAAGAACGTAGCATTTAAAATTTTTTTGGTCAAAGAAATATTCATTAAACTCAAAGCAACAAAATACCCAATTTAGTAGCATGTGATAAAGCTAAAACATTATTTGAATGGTGTAGTTCACGATCACAAATTCTGCTTTGTTCCACAATTCATGAATTGTGCATATTCTTTTATTTTCAAAGTGTATGACTTACTTATAAAGAAATTCTTCAGTTTTTTTTAAATGAGCATAAATTTTATGTCTTGCCCCAGGGCATGAAATTCTGCAAACATTTTCATTTATTAATGGTTTCAAACACCTGGGAATTTTGTAGACATTACAGATGTTTTCACATGTGTAAACTTAGAATAAATGTTGAATATAAGGGAAAGCTTTCTAAGTTTCAGATCTATGTGTATTTCATAGGACCAGGAGTTCCATTAGAGTCAGCCTTTTGGTGCTTGAGCTCATTTCCAGTCCATAAAGTATGACGGGGTAGTGGCTGGGTACAGCTCAGTGGTACAGCACTACTTGCCTAGAATGCACTAGGCCTTGGGTTCTGCCCACACCACTGAAAACAATATTCTTTTCATTTAAAAAACATAAAATATGTATATTGTCTCAAAATCAACTAACTCTTGGGCATTTTTATACCCATATCCATTAAAATATAGATTTTTAATTATAAAAGAATTGAAGAATTATGTTTTCTTTCCTGTGAGAACATATCTAAAAAATTATTGAGCCAGACTTTGTTTTTCTGTAAAAAAATAATTCTGCTTTAATCACGGCAGGTCTTTTGTTTATTGCTTTGAAAAGACAAGTTGAAAGGATTAAGTTCCTGAAGGAGAATAGGTTTATTCTCATACTGCACATGAGGTCAGCCCCAATGATGGCACCAACTCTGGAGATCCAGAGAACCTCAAAATCTTTGCTCAAGACTAAGAACAAGTCTTGTGAGAAATGTATTGATCGAGGGCTGGTGAGGTGGCTCAGTGGGTAGCAGCACTTGCTGTGTAAATGTGAGAATCTCAGTTTGAATCCCCAGCACCCACATAAAAATTAGGCACATGTGCTTCTTAACTCCAGAATTGGGGTGGAGGGAGAGGTGGATAGACCCCAGGACCTTGCTAGTTAGCCAGTCTAGCAGAAACAGTGAGCTTCGGTTTCATGAGAAAACAAGGCAGACTGTGACAGAGGATAGTTCCCAATGTCCTTCCTGGTTGACAGAGACAGAAAGAGGCAGAGAGAGAGAGAGAGAGAGAGAGAGAGAGAGAGAGAGAGAGAGAGAGAGAACAGAGAGAGAGAGAGAGGGAGAGAGAGAGAGAGAGAGAGACAGAGACAGAGACAGAGACAGAGAGACAGAGACAGAGAGACAGAGAGACAGAGAGAGAGCGAGCACCGATTACATGAAAGATGGATGCCAATTTAATTCTTCCTCAAGGGACAAACAAGAAAGATCATATTAATATAACTTAGTGCTTTGTTCTGTAAGTTTGTAACTGGGCCTAACTGGATTTCCCAGTTTTTTTCTGTTATTGAAGAGCTTTGTTTGTTTGCACTTCAGTTTCTTCTAAAAGCCTTCCGTCTTTGAGCTCAGATGTGATATTTCTGTCCAGTTTTTGAATCTACAGGTTTATCCAGTGAAGAGCCTTCAGTAGATTTCCATTTAAGCCTTCACTAATATAAGGTGCCCTGGTAGTGATAAGAGCTGCGCTTCCATTATCTCACTTAACCACCATGCAATGAATTAATACATTCTTGGTATGTGTGCATCTATTTTTGAGGGGTGTGTGTGTGTGTGTGTGTGTGTGTGTGTGTGTGTGTGTGTGCCCGTTTGCATGTGTGCATGTGTACGTGCATATCTGTGCATGTGTGTGTGTGTGAATTCTTGTGGGCACATATGTACATGGGTAGGAGTGCATATGTCTGCTCATCCATGTTGGGGCCAGAGGCCAACTTTGAGTGTTGTTTCTTGGGAGCCATTCATCTTGGTTTTTTGAGGCAGGATCTCTCCTTGGCCTGGAATTTTCCAATTAGGCTAGCCTAGCTGGCATTTCCAGTCCCAAGAATGCAGGTGCAGAGCCATGAATGACTTTTTGTTCATGGATTCTGGGGACTGAACTTTCACAGCATTTTACCACCAAATGCATCTGCCCAGCCTGACTTTAATACATTTTATACTTAAAAACCAAAATTTCCCATGGTTACATGGCTACTAAAATCACAGAGCTATGATGAACACAAAAGGCCAAGACCACGCCGATCTGCTCATTGGCATGCTTCCAAAGGCACAGGCTGTGACTGGTGTTTCCTATAGACTGATGTCCCTCTATCATGCTCATTTCTGGTCATTCCATAGCTTCCTGCAGATACACTTTTAGCTGTTCTCAGCTCCTGTTCTGACAGTGAGTCTTTAAAACCTGACTTTGCTCACAGTTATCACTGTTTTTTCTTGGTCATTGTAGAAGAAACAACTCAATATGGCTTTGAAGTTGCTCCTGTCATTTTCCCCGACCCCATTCTTCATGTTACCTTACCCATCTATTGATGAGAGAACACTATCTTTTATTGTCCCATCTGGTTTGACATTTCTCTCTGGATGCATTCTCCCTGTTAGTTATATTTGCTTTTCCTGAATTATCTCCACAAACCTGGCAGAACTACAACACAGTACATTCATTTTCTCCAATTTTCTTAAGAGGACAGGCATGATGCTGGGTCTTTGAAGTTGCTCTGGAGATGTTGGCTGGGATGTGTCAACTAAAATTAGATGGGGTGGGAAACCCCTTTAAGTTCATATTATTTGGGGCACTATAAGCTTAAAGAATGTGTTGGGAGAGCAGGAGAAAAAGTCTTTCCCAGGGGAGAGTGCCCAGTTAGTTGTCCAATATAAAATACTCATCCCTGAGGTTGTGTGCATATGAGTACATTTTACAGATTGAGAAGATTATATTTAGACATTCAGGAATATATATAACATAAGAGTTAAAGCAAAGAAGCCAGAAGTCATGAATTTGAGAGAGAGAGTAAATACATGGGAGGAGTGGGGAGGAGGAAAGAGAAAATTATGTAATTTTACTTAAACTTTTTAAAAAGAATGTGCTGGCTCCTGTCTCAAG